TACAACCTGAAACCATCCTCTAACAATTTATGGTCATTGCTCCTTGTCCTCCCCTGGGGCACCCTAGTAAACAGTTTTCTCCCAGGGCCTGATATTCACCCCTTATATACTTATAGATGACCACTAAGTCCCCCCTCTGTCTTCTCTTCCTCAGGCTGAACACTCCCAGATCCATTAGTCTTTCCTCATAAGGTTTGTCCTCCAGGTCCTTAATCATTGTTGTGGCCTTCTCTGGACCCTTTCAAGATTCTCCATGTCTTTTTTGAAGTGCAGCACCCAGAACTGGACGCAGTACTCCAGCTAGGGTCTTACCAGCACTGAGTAGAGAACAAGTATCATTTCCTTAGCCCTACTCATGATGCATCAGCCAATGCATCCCAGTATGCTATTAGCTCTGTTGACTACAGCATCGCACTGGCAGCTCATGTTCATCCTGTGATTAATCATAACCCTGAGGCCCCTTTCTGTCATTGTCCTGGCCAAGACATCTCCTCTTAACCTATATTCATGTTGTTGGCTACTTCTCCCCAGGTAAAGCACTCTGCATTTATCCTTATTGAACTGCATCTGGTTCCACTCCACCCACCTTTCCAGCTTGTCCAGGTCCACTTGGATCTGCATCCTACCCACTTTTCCCCAAAACTTAGGGGGTCTGCAAACTTCGCCAGAGTGCTTGACCTGTGGGCACTAGTGTGTCTGCAAACTTGCCCAGTGTGCTTTCCACATCCTCATCTAAATTACCGATAAGGATGTTGAACAGCATGGGGTCAAGAACCAAACCCTGCAGGATACCACTGGCCACATCCTGCCGAGACAATACAAGCCTGTCCACAAATACTCTCTGGGTTCGACCGCTTAGATAGTTCCCAACTCACCTGGACTCTGCCAGCCCACAATCCCCCAGTTTTTTTATAAAAGCATCACAGGAGAACATATCGAAGGTCTTTTTAAAATCCAAGTATATGACATCAACTGCATCTCCCACATCTAAGTGGTTCATTATTTGATCATAGAAGGAGATGAGGTTGGTCAGACACAACCTGCCTGTAATGAAAACATGTTGGCTATCCTTCAGCATCATGACTTCTGCCAGTCTCTCACAAATGGACGTGATATTTTTTTCCAAAAATGTACCTAGTATCAAGGTCAAAATGACTGGCCTATAGTTTCCTGGATCCTCCCTCCTCCCCTTCTTAAAGATTGGCACCATGCTGATACTTTTCCAGTCTATCAAGACCTCTCCTAAGCACCACAAGTCTTCAAATACCTTCACCAACAGTCCCGCAATGACTCCATCCAATTCCCTCAGCACTCTCAGCAGTCATCTGGTCCTGCCAATTTGAAGACATGCATCCGCTCTAAGTGCTCTCTCACCTATTCAACACTGACCACTGATTGGCAAACACCTCCCCCTTCCCCCCACATCCATCCAGGTTTTACTACCATCTTAGTCAGAATGTTTTTTTCTGGATATCTAACCTAAACTTCCTTTGCTGCAACTTGAGACCACTGTAAGGGTGTAAAGGGAAGGAGTAGCCCCATGAAGAAGACCCTGGGAAGGGCTAGTGATTGCCAGCCTCTCTAACTCCAACTCCAACTCCAACTCCCACCTAGATTTGAAGTACCATCAAGACATGGTGGGCAAAGGCAGAACAGCCGAGATAGAGGATAGTGACAATCCCTGACCATTTCCCAGATGGCACACTCAAGTAGAACATCTGGAAGGTGAGGCCCCCAACCCTACAGTATAACAGCTTAACAGTGGGGAACAAGCTGGAGAGCTTGTTCTCTGTTCAGAACTGAGATTGTAGAGCTGAGTGGGGAAGAGGCTCCCCAGCCCCCACTAGCAGGGAGCTCCCAGCACCAGCTCTGTAGTTGCGGGGCTGGTGCTGGGAGATCCTTATCGTCCAGTGCTGACCCCACAACTAAGGAGCTCGCACTGGGAGATAATGATCTCCCAGCCCTCTGCTCCCCAATCACAATCTTGGAGCAAGGTGCTTGGAGCTCCCTGCTGCTGGGGCAGGGGGACATAGTCCCCACCTGGGGTCTGGTGGCAGAACCCACCATGGCACCAGACAGCTCCTGGGGGCAGGGAGCAAACTCCCTCTCCCTGGTGGCTGGCTGACCAAGAGCGGACTTGCTGCCAATCAGGCATCTACATGAGTACTACTTCACGGTTAGTAATTGCAAGTAAATTTGCTACTTGCATTTGCCGGTAGCACATTTACTCACTATTAGCAAGGTTTCCTGTGCAGTAAGCATGTGCACACAAACATCTTGTATAGACACACCCTACAAGCAGGAATGTGTCCTGTCAGGAAATTTAAAAACTGAAACTGCCTGCACATTAGCTGAACAGCTATGTACAAGAACACATAAATACCTTGGTAACTGAACTGGGTAGCAACCACTGCTTTGGACTAGGTAAATATTCCTGTGTGGCAGAAAGGCAAAAACATAGCACCTTGTTCTGTGCTAAAAACAAGAAAAACAAGAGGTATGTTCTGTAAACCAATACGATAACTATATTCAGATATCCTTTAAACTAATAACTCTGCCCCAATCCTGAAGATTTATATGAGGCAGGAATAATGGAAAACTTGATTAAGGTGCCAGCATGATTTACTTTAATTTTATGAGTAAACTTTTGTAAAACATCCAGAGTTTTAGCATTTGACAAATGCAGTCTCTTTATCTGGAGAGTTTAGAATGTCACAGAGAAATGATACACTCTGTCCTGCAAAAACACTAAAGGGAAGGCAGGACATTGAGTAGTTCCTTAAGAAATAAATACAATCTATAAAGCAGACAGTTAGTCATACTCGCAAAGTTTATATATAAAATACCATATTTTTTGCATAAAACACACAACTTTTCCAAGAAACAGCTGCTGGAAATTCAAGTGTGCATTATATGTGAGAAACATGGTAAGCACAAGTTCTGCCACTTACTGGATGAAACCAAAAGTAAAAGCTGCGGCAATCCATAAGAAGCAAAACAACGTGCAAGCTCTCTAGCTGCTGCTACTCAGTTACTACAAGGAAATACCTTTTTATCTTCATTCTGCTTTTCAAGAACAAGATATGTATTATATTCTGGGCCATGTTATACACAAGAAAATGTGGTTTGCACATTTGCAGCAGAATTTGCAAAACACTTAATAGGACAACCCAAATTACTGTCTAGGAAAATAAACTGTATCTTTCTAAAAGTTAATTCCTCTTCCTTTGAAGGAGATGTCTTGCTAATTTCTTTGTTGAACTTCAAAATGCTTAGTAAATGCATGTGTACAGATGTAGATGTAGATAACAGGTACACTACTTATTAAGTGGGTATGGTTATAGATATAGATATAGATAACAGCTACTCTGTTAATAATACTTTATTGATTTATTTTGGTCCCAGTTCATTAAACCATGATTTGATATGAGTTGGTAAAAATAAACCCAAACTAGTTTAAAGATAGGTCTAATTAGTTAAACAAAAATAAGATAGCATTTTTAACCTACCTTGTACTACTCAGTACTGTAAACAGGATATAAGTAGTTTTCTTATATGTCTTTCAGAACATATTTATCAACATTTGTTGAAGAAGCAATGAACAAGGAAAAAAAACTTTCCCAGAAAACATGCACACTCTGTTCAGGATAACTAAAGCCATTTAACATTCACAACTCAAAATTAAGAAATTGCTGTAAGATACCAGTAACATGCTTTAAAAAGGAACTGCCTAAACTCATGTTTATAATTATAACTTATACCAAATATTAATTTCATTAGTCAACTTTCAAGTTGATATTCTTAATCTGCTACAAGAGAAATAAAACATTCCAAATAATTAACATAATATTAATTTTGGTTTCACACACTATTTACACACTATTTACATCTGGTTTCACACACTATTTGTCATATCAAAATAAATCTTCCAGCATTTATTTGCTATCAGAATCAATTTTATTTTATCTTTCAAAATAAACATAGTGTTAACTGTGTTAGTTTATCTGCTTGCTGTGCAGACCAGCCCCCACTGGTCCCGATAGCCTGGATGGGCCTAGTTGTCCACTGCTGATTGCCTCTGCCCTCAGCTGGCCCTGATTAACATGTTTGGCATGGCTGCTGCATACAAGCAGTAGCCCTGCCAGTGCTCTGTGGGCTGATATAGAGACAGATCACACTCTCTCTAGTCCCAGTACTCATGGTCCCCGGTCTGTTCTATGATCTTCAGCTCCCTGTTTTCTCTGCATTATTCTGCCTGAACTTCTCCCAGCCTCCATCCTGTCTTGTTCCAACCTGCTTCCTTTGCTTCAATTCTCAGCTTCCGGACTCCTGGTTTGCAACCACTGTAGCACTGTCCCAAACTGCCCCGCCTCCCCTTCCAGGTTTGGGTTGTGCCCATGACAGTAAGTGACTTAACTCTTTTTTCATATAAATGCATTCCTGTATATAAAATGTCAGCTTTATGAAAAGTTAACATATTATTGTACCTACCTTAACTGAAGTAGAATAATGACCAATATGTTTTACTGCAACCCAACCTCTGGAATGGGGATCCCCAAGGTATTCTACATGATTACTCTCAAGATACCCATCCAAATCATGTGTTACATGCTGTCCATTAACAAGATCAGGACAGATTATGCCAGGCCATCTTCAGGAAAAAAAAATTAAAAACATATATTCAAGCACTCCCCAACCAATACTCCATACCTCTATTACCACCAAATATTTCTTCCTCTGTGCTTAGCATGCTTTAGGGGCTTTCTAAATAAATATAATACTAACAATCAATTCATCACAAAGGTCAGATAAACCTATTCACGTCTCTTGAGCACAAAATGAAATGTCACCATTTAATCTATATTCATGAAATGACAGAATCTTAGTCATTTCAGTTTCCACCATGAGTTTGAAGAAAAAACTACTTTTAGTCCTTGTTTATTTGAAACTTACTTTGCCAACTTGTCAACTACAAAAACATAATACAAGAAGAGTGTGAAAAGGACAGATAAAAAGGAAATAGGAGATTTAGTGTCCTTCCCGAGGCTCAGATTTCCAAGCCTTTTATGGACATGAACATTTCTTCAAGTTTTCTGCCCCGTGTCAGAATTTAAAAATCTTCTCATTACTTCTGAAAAATCCATCTGTGCTATGATATGGGATCATTTTACTTATGGAAGCATTGCTTTTGTTTGTTCAGGTAGGGAAAACCTAATACTAGTTCAGTCTGACAAAAAACAAAGGGGGAGAGCACAACACATAGTAAAGACTCATAAATAGTCACCATAATAAAAATCAAGAGGAGCACTTGAAAGAAAAAGGGTAAAGAGTTATATACATAAACATATATATACATATGCATACATATATACATACATATGTGTGTGTATCATCATCATAATATCGACATGCATATATAATAACCAAAGAAAAATATACAGAGGCAAATAAAATATGGTAATAGTTGATAGAGAGAGATAAAAATCAAATATATTCCTTTATTTGTACTATGGCAAACTTCACACACCTGATCCTAAGATTTCCAGGTAAAGAGTTAGTCTTCTCTGGGAAGGGTCACAGTTTTTTGTAAACAGTGAAGCAGATTTGGAAGACGGGACAATATAAAGCAGTGCTCTGAACTGAGTTTGGAAGTGGTATGGGGTTCCTCAGAGAGATTGGTTGCTGTTCTAAACAAAGTCTGGAATCAATCAGTTCAGTAGAAACACTTACAAATAGAGACTGGTATGATCCCTGGACTAGACAAGAGAACTAGGAATTTCTAATACTGGGCCCAGGGCTGTTATGAAACCCTGAGAAAGGACCAAATGCACTTGTGAAGCCTTTACATAAGGGTAAAGTGTTGAATAGAGGAATACGGTTTGGTTTGGTTTTTTGCAGCAGGGGTGTTTTCTTTTGTATGTTTCCATTAAGAATCATCATTTTATGACATGCGATTACACCAGGGAACAGCTTCACGCTGAAGGTGAGATAGCATGTCAATTCTCTTATGACACAAACCATTTAACATACTCAGTTGCTATTCCACAGGCAAAGGCATAATGTCTAGATTCTACCACTTTTGTTCATGTTGAACAACACTCTTCAAACAGTCCTTCCAAGACCATTTGCCCAGTAAGAATCTTTTCCATGTGAATGAAGTCAACAGACCAAAACTTTAAGTGCAGAGATATCTTGTATACTGTGCAAAGTTAACAACCTTTGTAGCAGTATGTGAGCAACATCAGGTGGAACTTCCAAAATGAAAAACTGATTCTATGAAAACAACATATTCAAATCTAGGTTTTGTCAGTTAACATACTTAAATCAATTTGAACTGTTGTGATTATACCGAGAAGCAGACTCTAAGGTGTGCATTATGGGGATTCTATCTTTAACAATGATTTCTTTCCAGTGTTAGTTAATTAGCTTAACTAGCAGGGTGGATAAAATCTGATTTAAAAAAATTTCAATTGGATTTTTTATTTAAATTGGATTTTTACAATTTAAATTATAATTAAGCTTTACTTTTTAATTTAGCACAATATAGGCTAGGGTATACATACAGGTCCATGGTCGTGATCATGGACGTCACCATCCCCTTCGAGAACTAGCGCCAAGCCTTCACCGATGCCTGGGTTCGCAAGCGGGAGAAGTACACCCCACTGGCTGACACCCTGAGGGGCCGCGGCTTCTACGTGACGGTCGATGCACTCATTGTGGGAACGCTCAGAGCCTGGGACCTCAGCAGCGAGAGCGTCCTGTGTGCCTGCCGTGTCTCCTGCTGCTACGCCAAGCTGATGTGCTGCCTCATGGTGTCTGACACCATCCGTTGGTCCCGTGACATCTACATGGAACACATCACGGGCCTCTGCCAGTACTCCGACCCCACCAGATGAGCCACCACTGGACCGGACCCAGAGAGGACTGCCTGAACTGCCCCCGCTCTGCACCAGACGGACCTTCACTTCCAAGAGGATTCTTCAACCACGGACGACCCTGCTCCACCCAAAGAGGACCCCCGCGATGAGACTCTATATGGACTGAGACATTTCCTTTGAACCACTTCCTCTGAACCACTTCCTCCACCATTGTGGATCATTGTAACGGGTTTGTGTGTATCTATCTCCTTTCTCTCTCAGCATCGCAAACCCCCTCCCTCCCCTTCCCCTCATACCCCACCCCCGGGCTTAGATGGCTAACATTGTATCTCCTGCAACTTAGTTGCATTCCCCTCCTCACCCCCATCCCTCGATTGTTAGTCCCTCACTTGGGCGATCTGCATTTCCCTGCTGGCTTTGTCATCTTTTTTGGATTCCCAATCCTAAACATTTACTAATAAAAGTTAATCTATAGAAATAATTTAAATAAAATAACATGTTGAGTCAATGAGCCTCTAATAAAAACTCAGGGGTTAAAGGCTGATTTTCTTCTATATAAGAATGAGGGATGGGGGAGTGTAACTTCTGAGGGCAAGCTTTAAAAATATGGCACAATATTTCATGTATTAGGGTCCTGACCCTGAAAGGGATGTGGGGTCTATAATGCTGAATGCAAAAGATCAGCAAAGTCATCACAGGTGTTGGAACCTGGCCTCTAACTCCAGCAAATGCCATCATGTATACTCCTTGATCAAGATTATCCACTGAACTCATCTGGATCATAGAATCATAGAAAATTAGGGTTGGAAGGGACCTCAGGAGGTCATCTAGTTTAGTGTTTCTGAACCTTTTAAGTAGCAAGTACCCCCTAACTTCTGAAAACTTTAATAAGTACCCCAACAGTCAATTTTCCAGGGGATTTTATGTTTACAGACTGTGTGCCATATGTTGGAAGAAGGGCTGTGTATATAAGGTTGTGATATGACAGATGTCTGATCTGGTGTGGGTAGGGTTGCCACCTTTTATACCAGGGGTGCACAACTTGAGTATGTACCTGAGCTAGAAGTGATGTTGGCCAAACTAGGAGGGCTGAACCCATGCCAAATAATTACTGAGGAATTTAAAGCACCACACGGTGCGTGGTGTACCAAATTGTTTGCCATAGTTTTGACAGGAAGAAGGGGCAAGAGAGAGGAAAAGAGGGTGAGAGAGGAGAAGAGGGCGAGAGAGAGAGAGAGAGAGTTGGGATACACGTGTATCCCCTGCCTGTGATTCATGTACCCCCAAGGGTACCTGTAGCCAGGTTGAGAAACTATGGTCTAGTCCAACCCCCTGCTCAAAGCAGAACCATTCCAGCCAAGGCTTTGTCTAGACTTGTCTTAAAAACCTCCAAGGATAGAGCTTCCACAACCTCTCTTGGTAACCTGTCCCAGTGTTATACTACCCTACTAGTGAGAAAGTTCTTCCTAATATCTTAGCTAAACTTCCCTTGCTGCAACTTGAGACCATTGCTCCTTGTTCTGTCATCTGCCACCGCTGAGAACAGTCTAGCTCCATCCTCTTTGGAACCCCTTTTCAGGTAGTTGAAGGCTGCTTTTAAATCTCTTCTGTCTTCTCTTCTCTACACTAAATAAGCCCAGGTCCCTCAGCCTCTCCTGAGAAGAGGGGTTGTTCCACCCTAAGTGCAGGACTTTGTACTTCTCCTTATTGAATCTCATGAGATGGTATCAAACTCCTGTTTTATTTTCTCTACTTGAGCTCTCATTAGCTCAGCTCTCAAATTTTGATGTTATGATTCTGTATCCAAAATGGAGGCTTATTCTCCAGGTAAGGGAAAAATAACCATCTGTAACTCCCAACCCCTTGCTTCTGGGTACTTCAGTTAAATGGCCTTTCTTGGTCCCTTTGCATATGTACAGAGATGTAAACATTAATTCCTCAAGTGTTCTATCCATGTCTCTAAACTAAAATACTACAGCACACAAGGCCAGAGGGTTACAATAGCAAAAATCATAGATTGTTGAGGAGAAGGTATTTTTGCAGGGTGGGGGTGAAGGGGAAGGGTGGGAAGAGTGAAGGGTACAGTGGACTATGTCACAGGGAGAGGAAACAGACTACAGAAAAGTGTGTGCAACAGAAAGGACCTTTTTAAATAGAATTAGGCATGTAGGTACATAAGTTCAAATGATTTTTCCTACACATTTTAGAAAATTTCCTCGAGGATGACTTGAAATAATTGGTATAATTCACTAATCACAGTTCATACTGCTAATACTAGCATTTAATAATTAGTTAGTTGTAACTGTGCACCATGTTTTGATTTAAAAAAAGTTTCTGTATCTAAAACATTAAAGTTTTGTTTAATAAATTTGAAGCACTGGTTTCGTGTGTTTAATTAAATTCAAGTTGTCATCTGAATGCGGCTTGATACAAATATGAACAAAAAATTATTACCAAGCAAATAAGAAATATATATTTCACTATTTTATAGCATACTAAAATGTAGGCTTTCTAATAATTAAGCTATATATTTTTATATTTTTAAAACTGTGTGTGCATGTGCGTGTCCGTGTGTGTGTTTCTAGGAAACATATGCCCACACACTGAAGCACCCTAGTGCCCCAGCCAGCCCTGTCAACATCTACATGTGTGTTGTAGCATAGTAAGTAACTCTGATATAGGATAGTATTTGTGCCTGGCAGTACTTTCCTATGGCAGAGATAATTAGTTTACTCTGCCCTAATAGCACTGCATGTATAGACATTCACATTTT